CGAGTCCAGCCCGAGCTGAGCAGCCGCTGAGCTGCCAACAGGTAGCAGGATGGCTCAGCTAAAAAAAAAAAAAAAAAGAAGCTACAAGCACCAGGCTACATGCTATTTACATTTATAATGAAAAATAATTTAGGCTACAGCAGCCAGTGAAGAAAATTTGCACAGGGAAAGTCAGAAATGACTGAAGATCCTGAACTGTCCTGAAGTTTTATTATGGGGCAACCGTTCCAAAAAGGTGCCCTTCAATCACACCACTTTCTATATAAATGTCTGTAAGCACCTAGGGAACAACATAGACACTAATTTTCCCCATTGTATTCAAGCATCTATTCTAAAACCATGGGCCTTTTGGAACTATTGGGTTGTCAGAAAAGTCATGACATATTTTTGCAAAAATGCGTCATGACTTTTCCAACAACCCAATATTCCAAACTGCTGACATAATTCTTAACAGAACGGAGGACGCTATCTTACTCCTGATCCAGAGGTTCTAGTATAACTGTTCTTTTGGTAAACTCCACTTCAATTAAGTTAAACCAATCAATATATGTCTGAATACAACACCAATTCACGAAAAACCTTCATCTGAACCTTTGAAAAAGGGGTAAAGTATTGCTCACTCTGTATTCAAGTTTTCCGGCAAGGAAAGGCTGGTTAAAAAAAAAAAAAGAGTCCAAGAAAAAAAAAAATTCATGCTCTAAGGAACTTTTCCTGTCTCCCAATTTCCCACACCCTCTCACAATCTCTAACTTAATTTCATTCCTTAAATATTAACTCATCCACACATTTCTACAGTTTCACTGCTCTTTGTGACCAGTAACAATCCCAGATAAAAACTTATAAAACTAATTCTGAATCAAAGCGAGCGCTGCACTTCGACTTTTTAACTTTCTACCGTATAGGAGTCATGGGAGTGAAGGTAGTAGGAAAAGGGAAGAAAGCGTGTTCCATCCTTACTTCACACATTCTTACAGCCTCCCCACAGTGTATGGACCCATCAGGAAGCAAGGGCGGCCAGGTTTCTTTTCACCTTACAGAAATACTCTCGGGACGTCCGCCCAGTTTACCCTAACAGCTCCTCCCCCTCTAGAGCCAAGCCAGGCACAAAACTGCCCCTCCTTCTCCTAGCCCACGCCCCAATTTATTCAACAGATCTTGTCCCCTCAGTGGCATCTTGGGCTGCCCAGCCCCCTCTTATAACTTACCAAAGTTACTTCTCGCTAGCCCTACAAGAGAAATTCCTCTGGGATCCCCGGCCGGACCCCCCCCCCCCCAATTCTCAGGTTACATTTCTAAACCTCGGGTCTCACAGCTGTGAACCCTCCCCACGCATGACCAAGCATCAAGACTGCCCAGCCTGTCCCCTTCCCAATGTACTATAAAGTCCATCCTCCCCAACCCAATCCCGCAGCCGCTCACTCAACCCAACTAGCACTGTCTGAGTCTACTCATGCCGCGAAGAGCGACCCACAAGTGCTCGGCCCACCCCAAATAGCTGTAATGTCCGGTTCAGGATACGCCGCCCCGCCCTCTCCATCCTTCGGGCGCCCGGTGGCCGACTCTCTGCACGCAACGTAAAACCCCGCGCAGAAAGGGCGCGGGACCCAGGTGCGCTCCTCTCTCCCAACCTCCGCAGCGAACGCGCGGCCCCTCAGCCAGGGCTCCCGCCACCGCCGGGAGCCTGCCCCCAGTTACCCGCCCCCTCCCCGCTTCCTCGTCTCTAACGGACTGTACCTCAGAGCAGCGCCCAAGAGCCGAGAGGAATCGGTGCCGCGCTACTGGCGCGTTGTGTCGGGCGGGCCGGAGGAGTGGCGCCCAGCAAAGCAACAGGCCGGGTGTCCGCAGTCGAGCCCCTCACTGAAGCGGCGTACCGCAGGCCGCGGCCAACGGCCCTCCCCTCCGCCGAACAAAAGAGCCTCGCACTCTGCGCTGCCCGCCGCCCGCACCGCGCAGGCGCGACGACCCGCCGCACAGCACTATGGAACTTGAAGTCCATCCAAGACTACATGGCCCGAAATGCTGTGCGCGTCTTACGCCGCCACGCTCTGTTTGCGAGTGTTTCAGGGAGATTTAGTTTTCAAACTGCAAGCGCTAGTGGACTGTAGTTAAGAACGTTGCTGCCTAGAAAATTAAAACATGCGCTTTTACAAGCGAGCTCTTTAATGCTTGGTCCAAAAAATCAACCACTTATGGACAGTTATGTACATTCTCGAAATTTTTTAACCTTAACGGGTTTCTCACCAGAACTTGACCAAATCTCCAATAATCTCCGATATC